CGTAATGTGTCAATACTGGAAGGCAATTCTCTGCACCATTGGTTTTTTTGGGGAAAGTCCTGTTACCCAAACCCGGCATTACAATATAGTTACAAGTGCTTTGGCACCAAGAGGACACGGGTCTATTGGCTCATCCTAGACAATATTTTAGATTTGCGCTCACGGTAAGAAACGTCAATTTTTACCATTTTGAAATGATATTTATATCGAAAAAACTAAAAGATAGATTTTTTGAAAAAACTTATTTGGATTCAGGACTCAAAATACTACTAGTATGTAAAATTTCATCAAAATCCAAGATGGTCAGGTTGAGAGCCTAGTTGATTTGATATGGAATGACCCTCCCGTGAATATTAAAAGGACTACCCAACTAACTTAGCTTAGGATGCCAAAAACTAATAATGTCAACCTTTACCCTAAGAATACAATGACACGGTTCCAATAGCTGTAAATTGTATTTTTATAGTTTATTTTATGACTACATAGTAGGCCTATGACTACGTCTACTCTTACCCCAGATAGGCCTATAAATTCTCTTAATTTTTCAACGTAACATTCCATTTCAAATTTGCACACTGTAACTTATTACTTATGCAAAACAAGAATATATGAACTTGTGTTTGGATGTAAAATAATTATTATTCAATAGTCTGTTCCAACTTCTTTAGTTATAAACATCAGCAGATCGCCATTTCCAACCTTTAACCTAAAAAATAAATAAAAATGGGGAAAAGAGAGGAGAAGTATAAGGATTGGTATGGTTTTGCTAAAAAAAATCAAGCAGAAGACAATACCAAACCAGGAGGCAAGAGAAAAATTCTCAGACTCAGGGAAAAGTCCGCAAAATACAAAGAAACTCATAGGGTAGGGGGAAGATTACAATTTTGTATAATTGCATGGTAATTATAAGTGGGTGAAGGATAAAAATAACAGGTTTATACTATATTATACACTATTTTCAGCAAAGGCAATGAAATAGTTAACCTATTCCGCTATCGCGGCCAGATCAAAAACGTCTTCCAGGGTCACTGCGCAATCATGAACATGAACATCCCGAAATGAATAAGAAAAGGACCCTAGCTTTATTGCCATTGGCCAACTCGTGGCAATGGCAGCGAAATTTCCTACTTTCGCTCGCGCAACTTACAGATACTTTATGCAATCGCGAAAATAAGGGCACAACCACGGCCACCTTTAACTTGATTTTGGACGGCACATAAGTCATATTTGTACCAGGGCGTCACGCATGCTGGGATTGATCTCTCGGACGTCAAGACATGGGTTGTTGAGTGCCAACTGACATGCTGACAGCATTCTTGAGGGTACCCCGTAAAAGCATTGTTGTTGTTGTTGTTTCTTTGTTGTTGATTTTTCTCATGTTAATTTTGTGATCTATTTTGTTTGTATTCTTGTTATTGATTGATATATTCATTGTTATATTTTGTTATTGTTATATTTTTTATACATTGTTATATTTTCTGTAACATCAATATCCATTGTTTTGCCATGTAATAATTAGTTTAAAAAATTGTTTTCTACTCCTCTGTTAGTTATTAAATTTTTATAATATTCTCATATTTGTAGCTACTTAATGTAAAATGGTGTTTGCCGTTGGTGTTCAATAAATAAATAAACTCCTCAACGATCCTGTTCAAGGCCTTAGTTCGTCAGCTAACCCCTCCCCTCTTCACTAGCCCTATCCTCTTCGGCCAAATCAATCATCTTGAATCCGTCCAGAGACGCTCGTGAGACATCTTGGTTGCCGCGCTGGGTTCAATTTCATGGACGTCCCAGCCGATGCAATATCTGCAGCTTATGGTCTCCAAAGCTCGGAGTGTATAAGAAGAGTTGCTGATGTTGCCTTCCTCTTCAAGCTGCTTAACAACCAGATCAGCTGCCCTTTTCTGCTCGAGAGGATCAATTTACACGTTTCTAAAAGCACCAGGCATCAACGCTTGTTTGCGCTAGACCATGCTTTGACCAGCTATCTACGTTTCTGCCACCCATACAACGTCTGATGCGCTCCGGGAACGAGATCTGTTCATCGGTAGACTTTTTCGCTTCCAGTTTGGAGGCTTTTAGGCGAGTGGCAGCGGAGGAATGTGACGCTCTATAGTTTTTTACTATTAGTGCCGTTATCGACCATGTTGTTTGTTTTTTTCTAATCATTATTAGTGTTGTTCATTTAATTTTAATTATTGTTAATCATTTCATTATTTAATTTTGTTACTCATTTCATTTCTCTATTATTGTTATTCTTTTCATTGTTTATTATTGTTAGTACCTAGTACAAAACACAAACATTCACTGTTGTAGCTGTCAAACATTATCTTTGTAAATTGGTGTATTGCCGTTGGTAAATAAATAAATAAATGAACTCCAGGCCGTGGCCTGGTGGCAACGTTGCATGTAGTGTTGTTTAGCATCATACGTCCCATAAGATAACATGGCAGACAGGTGACACCAGCTCATTAATTCGAGTATTATTCATTCATTTAAAGTTAAATTTAGGAACATAAATTTATAAAAAAATAAAAATAAAATGTATAGAATTGAAAACCAAAACAATATAAATTGAAAACACATTTCTGTACATTTTAAATGGAGTCAATATTCTCATAGCCCAGTAACCAAGGGGTATTCTGAAAAAAAACACAAATATCATTAACTGCCTCCAAACAAAACAGCTGTTACAACACTATTTGTGACGTTGCCACTTCGAAGGCCGCGGCCTGGAGGGTCTAAAGGGTAAAGGAGTTTAATTCCATGCAGCGGCCTTCGTGTCAACATCGCAAGTAAGTGTTAAACAGCCTTTTCGTTTGGAGGCAGCTAAATGGTAGCCCTAATTGTGTATTTTTTTAAGAATACGAGAGATTGGTCAACTGGGTTATGAAAATACTGACTCTACTTTAAATGTAGGTACAAACATTTGAGTTTCAATTTAAATATTGTTTTGGTTTTCAACTCTGTGTTTTGTTTTTCAATCTTTTGATAAATTTATGTTCATAAATTTTTATTCTATAAATAATAGGCACACTCGAATTAATGAACTAGTGTCGCCTGTCTGCCATGTTATCTTATGGGACGTCTGGCGCTAGACAACACTTGCAACGTTACCAATTCTACCAGGCCGCGGAGGAGTTAAAAGTGGCCGTGGCTCGGTTCGGCTCGGTGCGAAAATCAAGCTGCCCAGCTGCCCACACACACACACATCTTACATCAATTATCTGACCCGAGCTTGGTCTAAGACGATTATTTCCAGGCTGGACCGATCCCTTGGGTCAACTGTTGACGCTAACTGAACCGAAATACTGGGGAACCGCTGACATTTACTGTAGTAACATTTGGAGGGTGACAAAAGAGAACATATATGTATATAGTCCTCGCCACCCTAAGTTGAGGCAGCCAAAGGCCGCACTAGATACACGCCGTGCGGCCTTGGGCTGCCTCAACTTAGGGTGGCGAGGACTATAGTTCATCTAGAATCTTGATATCAATTTACATCTAAGAGGAACAGGAACCGATATCAAATTTAATCGTCCAAATAAGAGGAATTATTTGTGATCAAGCCAAACAAAATTTAGATTTGTAGAGTACCTATATGCGACTTATGAGATTATATAACTTTTTCTCTTTTTTAACAGAAAGCTACTAAATTAAGACAATTTGAATGATTTATTCATATCACTATTACCATATTGATTATATGTATAATCAATGCTATCACTATCATGGGGCAGCGCCTGAAGTGCTTTTTTTTTATACCAAACCTAAATAGAAGATGATTTAGAAGAGGAGACCAAAAACACTGTTCAAATTCATAGCTTATATTGGGTTTTCCATTTTGTTAACCCGAAGAAACATAAAATTTCACAATTTATCTCTAATAAATTTTAATTTTGTAGGTACTCTTGAGCTAATTAATTTTGTGTTGTTATACCTGTACGCTTAATGGTTACAGAGTAAGGTCAACAAATTACTCTTATGGAGAGTAATGATATGGAACTGTTTTAGTTTTCTTTCTTTTCTTGTTTATGGATATATTTTGATAATTTTTATTTAGCCAATTTATTTGTCTTAGGACTATACTATCATAAGCCATTCATTTAAATAAAAAAAAAAAAACACCCACACACACTTAATTATCTTTCCTATAACCAATCCTTGTATCTATTATTTTTTATCTAAATAAGGAATAAAATATGACATGTTTAAGGAAATATTGAAGTGAAAATCCAAACAGTCATAAGGAAATTTGTTTAGACTAGGTTTGCTTGGAAGGGGTTAACTTTTAACTTGTATTGCCACACTTTTTAAAACTGATGAAATTGGTAACCTTCAGACTTTTAGTTGAGCGAATAAAAAAAATCTAAATCAAAGGTACCCAGTTATACTATTTTGTTAACACATCATATTCAGCTGTGTCTCCATGATAAATCAGTCATACAGAAAAGAGCCATGGTTTATGGTGTACCTATTTACAATCTAGCAATAGCAATTAAGGATTGTTATGGATGAGCTCGTGCAAACTAAACATGTGGATGTGAAACTAATTTTTGATAAATTTATGGATGACTGTTCTTTATTTTTACCTTCACCAAATAGTTGTATTGTGATATAACATTATCGTTTGAACATCACAAAGACATGTTTGTTAGGCATGAAATACAATTTCAATTATTTTATCTTAAGTATATTTCATAAGAATTGTTATGAAAATCAGATACTTTCTAAGGAACTTGACAAAAAGTTACATTGGAAAGTAAATTTGCATTGGAACGCATTAAGTTATTTCAAAACCTATACCCTAATTATTTTACTTGAACTAATTTAAAATGAATGATAAATAAGGAAAATTATGCAAAGAGAAATGTTAACACTATAAAAATAACTATAACGTGGACAAAATTATGGGAAATTTGAGATAGTTGGTCATACTGACGGACTTACAAAGACAGGTAGAAACATAACTTTCTTATCAGAATCTATTCTCATATCAGCTTTAAATCCATCTAGTTAGTTATCTTTCCTGATATATTTTAATTTGTTCTTTGATGTTATAGGTTAGTGAGTAACAGGGGTTTGTTTTTATATTGTTCTAATGTCTCCTATTGAATTTTCTCAAGGTGTAAGTATGTAGTTTATTACATTAGTTGTTTTGATTTATTTTAATGATACAAGATTAGTTAGCGATTTAAGGTTTTTCCAGGGATGAAATAATTGTAAATATTGGTATTTTACTTTCAAGGTTTGGCTGTAGAATTTGGTTTCATGTCTTTATAGTCCAGTAAAATAAGACATTGTGGTATGCAAAAGGTTGGGTAGTTTTGATTTTTGGATATGTTGGGCCCATAACATAAAATCCAAGTTATCCACCTCGAGGTACCTCCGTGTGCCGCGGGGCCTGCCACTTGTTAACGAAATAGCATAAATTTGACCATTCCTTTGGTTTTGCAATCTATCTCGCGAACGGTTGGTTTTACTGAAAGCATTGCTTTATTAAATTAAAAGGGAATAAATTTGTGACAGTTTAAGCCCAACTCCATGTATACGAGTATAGCGTAAATAATGGTTGAAATACAGTACAACTATCTATAAACTTATTACATTTAAAAGATGGGGCAGTTATGAAAACATTTAAAAGGTCTTACAAAATATCACTTATATTTCCAAAATGCTATGTATCTTCCTTCTTGCATCTTGTAGAAATTTATTATCTTATAGACTATACGTATATAATTGTAAACATATAATATAATGTTTGTATTTTTTTGTATTTGTGTTTCAGCTTCAGCATGAAGTTAAAGTCTGGGATCGGTTCATACGAAATCGTGAGACAGTTCAACACCGATTCATAGATTCCCCAAAAAGTGACGAGAAAGTTTGTGATGATGCCATAATACACCAGGTAAAATTAAAAGTTGATATTTTCATAATTTTTGTTGTATTGAGGAATACAGTGTTCAATATATATTTGATTAACACCCCCATGTCTTTGAATTATTTATACATTCAATTAAAGTTTTTTTTCCATGTTAAATAGATTTATTGCAGTTGGATCTTTTTTGTACATACTGTACATATTTATTTGGCACGTTTGTTTTTTGTCACAGGTTTTTACATGTAACAAAAATAAAAACTTTTGTTATTTTTTAATAGCAGCAAACCAGAGTACTCATTGAGCCCAATGTAATTAATACTAGACACAGATTGAAGCAAATTTATCTTTGATTAAAAACCATTTAAAATCAAAATTCAAAAGGACATTTTCATTTTCTTGGTGTTTTTTTGTTTGTTTGTTTTTTCGGGGGAGTCTCTTTCATTATCTATCATGTGAATCGTCCATAGGTGCATAGATGGTTTTGTATTCAGTTCTATGTCAATTATTTAAACATTAATCAATCAACACATTGGTCAATTATGACCAATTTAAACTGGATGGTTTAAACATTAGTCTTATTCATATCTTGGATTCAGTGACATGTTATTTGTTAATAACACAAGGCATCAAGGTCTTAAAAATAAAGAGACACACATTTGGTTTTGTCTTAACCCAGACTCAGTAAAAAACCCTCTGCTTCAAATATTGACTATAATAAAGATAGACGGTATGCATAAATTTTCAAAATAATTTAGAGTGAAAAAAGTGAAATTTTCCCAAATATTTTACTTCATCATTATAATATTATAAAAAGTAACATATATTCCTGATCACAGTCACAAAAAGAAGCGGATGCTATGATATGTGTGGGGTGAAATGTTCTGTTTGACTTTTTTGGCCATGCTTGAAAATAAACCAGTTGAAAGTAAACAATTTTGTGATGGATAATACATACGAATTGAAAATGTATATATTTTCCTTAGTAAATTACTATTGCAAAAAGTTCAAATCTTGCTGTATATATATATATATATATACATATATGTATGAATACGTGTTTTTGGCCAGTGTGTATTTAGTCAAATTGCACTTGGGGAATATAACCCAGTGCTTCTACAGTATTACACCCCTTCATGTTTTGGGGGAGCGAGCTGGCGCAGTGGTTAGAGCACGGGACTTCAGTCCCTGAGGTCCCGGGTTTGATCCCCGCCAAGGCACCATTTGATCAAAGTGATAATGCCGCAACCCCTAGGTCTAGCCTGAAGTAATGTGAAAAACAATCCCAGGCTCGTGCCTAGCGTCCTAGGAAAAAAAACCCTTCATGTGACTTAAAAATGTCCATGAGCGTAGGTTTAAGGATGAATTTCCTTTTACCCAACAGATCAATATATTACATATGAGGATTGTATTATGAATCTGTAAAAAAAAACTATTTGCCTAGTCTGCAGGTTCGCTGAGTCAGAGGTATTTATATAAATGTGTATTGTTAAGGCTGAAATATCTGACAACAATAATAATTGTTATCACTGTATATCCATGTTAATGAATGTAAGGTACTTATTTTAACCAATGTAATATTGTACTATTTGTATTGAACAAATGCAAACAAACAAACAAATGCATGAGATAAGTTTAAATTTGCCAAGTCGCAGTACATTGAATAGGATGGTACCAGCTATGCATGAGGCCACATGTTCCTCCAATTGACAGTTTACAACACAATGGAAGATAAGTGATTGACATTGTGTACTGTATACATTTTTTATCCTAAAGCTTGGAACAGCTAGAGAAAGGTTAAAACTCTTGTAGACAGCTAGGTAATGTAAAGACACTACTTACTTTCACCCATGAATATTAGAACAGATAGTGGCATTGGATCATAAGCATAAACAAATGAGTAACAGGCCTGAATTCTACACCAATAACATTAACATATGGTTTAGACAGTTCTATTTAAGTAATGTTAAATAATGTTTACTTTCGGGCCGGTAACATCATTTTTTTATGTTTATGATCCATACGGTGTTTGTTCAAGTATTCGTGCTTTCACCTATGGCCATCCTATATCAAAGGGGATATTTATAGTTGCACCAAGAAAACTTTTCCATTTTGTTCTGTCCTCTGCATCATCTTTTGTATCTATTACTCTCTCCATTTCTGACTTAATTTTGTCCCACCAGGATATGGACACTATATCAACATTCTTCTCCTTCCTTGATGTTTCAGGAACCTTACTGGAAGTCTAAGGAGCTCTACAAGCAGCTGCTGGCGTCCTCGCTCTCCCTCCACTGTCGACCCGACAGCTGGTCCGCACAATGGCCAGTCAAGTCTCGTTGTAAGCCTCACCTCCTTTCCCCAAACATTGTCTTGGACTTGCCCAATATGCGTCAAAATGTCTGTGAGTACTGTGTTGTATTCCTACACATCTAAGCATGGATGTAATTTAATTGTGTTAAGATCACTAACCTCAGGAACATGAAAAAAAATTCTTCAGCTATGTAGGATATGTCAATATGTGGTATGTAAAGAGGGGAAAATAGTAAACTTTTTTCAATGATAAATTTTGTATTTCATAAATGTTTTAAATGACTTTTTCTTTTGTATAAACTTCTGTAATCAGTGTTATAGTACATTTAAATTGCTGTATGCACTCATTTTCTCTTAGCAAATTCTTTTTTACAGGGAATGAAGTACAGTATTCATACATTGTTAAATTCCAAAAGTAAAATTTTAATTGTTTAGGTTTTTAAATCTGTAGATACAATGATTATCATATACAATAATCAATCAGTTCAGATTAAATTGAGTACAAATTTATAAACCAACACCAATTTCAGTCAGTCCTGAAGCCAGATCCAGAAATTCCATGTCCATATCTGAAGCATTCACAATCTGTCCAGCACAACATTTTTCATGAAAATAAACTAAAAATAAATAAAAATAATTTAATCATACAATTTTAAGTCCACTCAAGGTAATTTTCGTATGTATAACCTGAGTTAGACATATAACAAAATAATGAATTCATGTACACATGTATATTACAGTTTTACCAACAACCCAGAGGTTGGCATTATCTATAATCTATAAAACCTTGCATTTATATCAGTCCACATGGGCCTCAGGCCAGTACGTGGAATGTTTCAAGTAAAGCAAAGGCGATACAGAACAAGAGTGCATTATGTACTGAATATTTTTAACAATAATTGGGATTTAACTCTGGACTGAAACCAAGCTAGCATCTGTTATTAACTGACCAATATTTGTAAATGTACCCTCCCAGACAGCACACTTTATCCCAGGGACATCCCATAGTAGTCCCATATGTCCTGAGAATGTCTCGGGATATGTGCGCTATCCTCAGGATATCCCGCAAAATCCCGGGACGAGTACGAAATCCACAGGATATCCTACAATATACCGTAATGTCCCGGGATTTGTAAGTTAACCTCAGGATATCCTGTAAAGTCCCGGGATATGTACGAATGCCATAGGATATCCCAGAATGTCCCATGACATCCTGGGACATGTACAAAATCCACTGGATATCCTGTAATGTCCCGTAATGTCCCGGTAACAAACTGAAGAAAAAAATACTACCACTGATGAAATGTACAGTATATCTAAATTTAAATGTTCAACAAGGCCAATATATAATAATTTGTTTTTTTCACTAGTGCTTTCAGAAACTTGGTTTCCATCTTCAGGCTGTGTTTACACTAGTACAAAAAGGAAATATTTACTCAATAAATTAATTTTAAACAAAGTTAAAACAGATGATTTAAAGGATATTGGAAAAATTAAAAATAATACTAGAAAAATTAATCTTTTGAATTTTGGATATGTTACAGTGTTGTTCTTGATGAAATTATTTTCAGTAATTCCGAATTTATAATTGGGCCGTCTTCATTATTTAACAAATAATTTTGGTCTGTTTTTTTTTCTTTCTAAAAATAAGATTCCCACGCATTAATATGTTGAGGTTTTATAATTTATTTTAAAAGTTTAAGGTTTCCCAGATTGAAAATATGTCTTGTTAATACTATGGCTAGCAAGGGTTGACTTTACTTTACTGACATATTACTACCACTGAGTTCAGGAAAACTAGAATTCTATCATAGTTGTGTGGAATGTGAATTTAATTCTAACTTTAAATTAATAAAACAACAAAAAACTAATTTTAATCATATAACAATCAATTATTACAGTGCTAATCTAATGGTGATTAAATAATCTATATTCAAATACCAGTATCCTCTCCAACTACCAGAAAAACAATTCAACTACTTGAGGCCTAAACAGATTAACAGAATCATATATAGCCTATACTGTAGTATCAAAAATATTTTAAGTATTGCGACCATTGCAACTGTCGGCTACTCTTTAACCACTTGAAAACACCCATAATCAACAAGCGCAGATAGCTCAGGAGGTAAGGTAAGAGGCTCACAAGGCGAAGGTACCAGGTTCGAAACCCGTCTGGGCCAAAAACTTTTTTCTCGTTTTTTTCTTCAAAATTTGTGTTTATTAACTATTTAATCAATTTACTAAACTTATAATTAAGCTTTTCATACTAAATCTATATTATTTTGTGTTTTTTATGTTCAGGCCCAGACCACACTTTATCCCAGGGACATCCCATAGTAGTCCCATATGTCCTGAGAATGTCCTGAGGACTACCCTGGGATGACCTCGGATGTCCCACGGATATGCGTGTGAGCTTATCCGTAGGACATCCCCGGGCGGGGACATTAGGCATTCCTGTGGATATCCTGTGATATCCCAAGTTGACCATAGGACCACTATGGGATATCTTGCATATCCTGTCGCAATATCCGTGGGATGTCCTGAGGAGAAAGTGTGCTGTCTGGGCTGTATGTGTGTGTTAGTTATTAACATGTCTTAAATTTAACACCTTTAGCTAGGAAAACATCCTTGTGATGATGGTTCCATATTGTAGGAGCTCAAACTAGTTGTATCTGAAATTAGGCCTATATAGATTGTCTAAAAGCAGTTATTTAAACCTTTTAGCGAAATTCCCATTGGGAATAAGCTATTGTACTGTAGGTCTCATGGTTAGTCCTAGACCCGTTACCGATTTACTTATTTGTTTTGAGGTCCCCAGAACGCAAAAACACCCTCCGTTCAAATTCATATAAATGTGTCCGTTAGCATGATAACTCAAGCAAAAATGATCAGATGAAATTTGGTACAAACGTCAAACGTATGTAAAACTAAATTTATTCAAACGAGTTTGCAAACCAGCACAATCGGACCATGGGAGCGAGGGTTTATGGGGGGTTTTATAGGGTAAAAATTTATTTTTCCCATTTTTGACCGTTGACCCTTAAAACACAAAATTTCATAATTTCTTTCCAAACAATTTTGTCGAGGTTAAAAAAAGAAATAATTTTGTACATGGCAGCGTTGTTGTAATGTCAAATGGTTAGAGGGATAGTTCAAAAAATGTTAAATTTAAAATTCCCATGTTCTTCTTACAGAGAATAAATAAACTGTTGTAGTTTGCTTGTTTATGGATATATTTTAATCAAAGTGGCAGTTTTGTTTATTTCATACTAAGCTATCAACTTTTCAATAAAAAAAACACCTCAAAACCTTCCAGTTTTAACGGAATATTTTATTAGAAATCAAGCCAGGTAAATGGAAATTCGCTTGATCTGCAGGTTTGCTGCGGCGGGGGTATTTTAATAAATGGGGCATGAACCCTTGACATTGCTGTCATAGATTTCTGTTCCGTCACGCTATTTGAATGAGCTGGATTGAATTTTTGTTTAAGATGGGTGCAACATAGTGGACTGGAGTGTGACTGGGTATCTGACAGTGTCGTTTCCAAGAAGTGTGTACCTTTGGCAGGCTTCAAACAACCAGACACTCAAGATAGACTACAAGGATACCTGCTGTGTTAAATGGAATGTGGACGGAACTGGACTGTTTATGGCGTCTAGATGTGGCGCTTTCAAGGTATTTCACATTCAATTCAAAATAGCTTCATTCACTCTAACAAATTTGTACAATTCCGTAGATGAATAGTGTAATGTAAATAATTTACTCTTGCTACCTACATTCTTACATAAATATTAGTAGGCCCTCGTGTACAGTGTGTATTGCATATTACTGGGTCAACTTCCTGGAAATATTTACTTTGACTGCTTCAAAAATCAAATCCTTGAATAATAAATTCAATAAGGTAATCCTATAAATTATTATTAAGTTTATTAATTTGCTATTTATCTTTCAACTGGTATATAATGTTAATGAGAAATTCATTTTAAAACTTACCATATTTCTAGTAGTTATACCTACATAGTTTTTTTTTTATAGCTCTAGTCTTTGATGATTGGGAACAATTTCATGTCGGATACTGATCTTGTGTAAATAATTTGTAATATTCTGATCCTTCTTTTTTTTGTAAACATAATAGTTTGATTATTTTACATAGCATTGATTACAAAACATGTTCTAAATTCACCAATATGAATTCAAAGAAAATGCTCTCTTGGGTCTATAGCTTAACTGATAGAGGTACTGAAAGTCGTTGTACTGCGAAAACAAATGTTAAGACTATTCTTCCAAATTCATTTATACTTAGCAAAGACATCATCAGTACCGTTTACTTAGTTTTATTATGACATGTCATAATTATCAATTATACAACAATGTTGAAGTATGAAAAATGTACCATCTTTAAACATAACCAAAACTTGTGAGACTCTTAGTAAATTAATTGTAAACTGTCATCTAATCTATTAGCAATAGATAAATTTACACAATTGCAAACCCTTTATTTTAGTAACAGGCCTACATTTAAAATATCCCATACACATCATATCTTTGGGATATTGCTAAAAAATTTGTTTCACTGATTAAAATGTGTACGTATTTAGAAAGGTCGGAACAATAAGTACCGGTAGTTGTATAGATTGAGTGCCATATACAGTGAGTGCTCTCTCCTATATTTACAACTAGAATGACAACAATCTTTAAAATCACAAATCATGTTCCCAACTCATTACCATCATTTATACACGCAACCATTTGTATACCTGTATTATTGTGTGAATGCAACTAAACAATACTCACTCATAACGAGTTTCTACTGTATAGTATTCAGATATGAACATTAATGAGGAATTAACTACAAAAAGATCCGCACCCTGTCATCTCAGCTGTTTCATATCTTGCTGTGCCTTCCATCCTAGAAGTCCCATCATGTACATGTAAGTATGAATAACCTATCCTATATCCTATATCAACATACAACAGACGATTAGGGGTAGATAAGTTTGTAAATGTCACTGGGTTTTTACATTTTATTCGTAGAATTTGTTTCTAATAATAATTGCATGTCATTTTTCATTTTTAATATATGACACATCAAGTAATATAGCAATTCAAGTAACATACCATAATTAAGGTTAATAAATAGTAGATATTTAATCTTCAGAACTTTGTACAGTATGGATGTTTTTTAGTTGGTACCTACATGTCTCCTTCAGAGCAACAAGTCCAATTCAACTTAATTCAATTTCAAGTTAATTGAGTAAGTTTTAAATTCAATTCTTTGAGGGAAATATGTCAAGGGGGTGTTACAAATTGACTATCTCTTAAATTATATCCAAAAAGCAGTGATTTTGTATTAGATATGCATAAAAAAGGAATCATGTAAGGTACAGTACTTCAGCAGAGAGATCCAAACATTTATTTCCTAACTCTTTGAGACCCAGGGATTATTTATTAATTCAACGATGCCTATTTATGTATACAGGGTGTATATAAAGTCCCGCACGGGCTTAATATTTTCTAAACAACAACAGATAAATCAATAAGATTTGGTACATCAACACCACACCTAAAAATCTACTTTTTTAAGGAACTATCAATTTTCTGTCATATCATAGGGACGTCAGGACGCAAGGACGCAAGGAGTCAGAAGGAAATCTTAAAAAGGAGCATAGGTCAATATGCACATCAGTTTAAAGGGCTTAGCTAGCAGAGTTCAATGCCGGAAACCGCGCCTAAAAAGGATCATCCGTTACAAAATGGCGGCCGTTCAAAGATTTCTTGAATCTGCCATTTTGAATTTTTGAACGACTACCATTTTTCACTCAGGCGTTCTTTGAGCTTGAATTTACGGCATTGTAATCTACTAGTGAAGACCTTTAATTTTATGTGCATATCGACCTATGCTTATGTTAACCATTTTCTTCCGATTCCTAGGTCTGTGCCCCTGAGGAGTAAGCGTATTTTTTTTTTTTTTTTTTTTTTTAAGGGAGAGGAGGGAAAATATTTTTACGCACACAGGTAGCCAGCCTGTAGTGTGAGACTTCTGAATCTATCACAGACTACTCAAATTTACAAATTTAATTTTACAATTTAATTTACAAATTTTAAAATTTACAAATAGTAATCATGCTATTAATGGAACTATTTGGACAACTGAACACCAGGTGTGAGTGTGCAGTGCTGTATATGACTCTGTAGATACTGGCAGCTTGGCCAGTGGCGGCACGTTTTATTGGCGACAATCACTAGCTCTCTCTACGGCATTCATAAGGATAATATTAATTTTATAATTTATTATCAATGGATTAGGTATGCACAAACCATTAGCAGTGTATCATAAAATCAAAGAATATAATTATTATTGGGTGGAGGGTATTGAAAATTATATTTAAATGGAATAAGATTAGGTAAAACGAATTAATTCATCAATCTTGACCCAAACCTCTACCTGTGGGCAGTTGAGCGCGTTCCACCGAGCTCTGCTAAAGAGAAGTTGGTCCTCATGAGTTGAACCAGACTAAACCATCAATCTACACTGCTGTATCCTGTCTGTATCCGACAATGCTTTCACCGTTCATCCAAGGATCAGACCTAGCACTAGCAGTCTAACAATATTGTACTGGATTTCCCAATGCCCAGGCTGGTAGTGTCCCAGGCATTATTATAAAAGTATGCTTGCATAAATAGTTTTAAAGTAAGGTTTTGTTACATGGCCATTATTCTTACCTTTTGTGACTTGAAGAGTTGATGTGAATAAATGCAGGTTGAATAAATGATAGGGAATAGTATTCTTGCACTCTAAGTAAACACTGTGTAATTTAGCAGCTAGGAAAATGATTACTTTGGTAATTTATTTTTTTCTTTTAAATTATATGGTGGATTGATTTTTTTAGGGGCTGTTGCTTGGGTTCAGTGACTGCCCACTATGTCAACAAAGGTCTTCACATGTTTCTCCAGATTGTGGCAATGCATAAAGAGGAATCCATTGTTAGTCTCGGGGCCTCCCCCGATGGAACATACTTAGCTGTTACCCACATGTCAAACGAGATAGCCATATATGAGACTACAAAGTATAATTGTCTGTTCAACATTGTTATGATGGGTCCTTCTAGGGTAAGTGAATATGACTATAACAAGTTACAAGGAATGTTGTGTTACTTGTCAACATTAGCTATGGTATGTTTAAAAAATATATACTATTTAATCACACATGGCTTTTGGAAAATAATTTACACTCGATTAATTAAAGGGTAAAAATAAATCTTACATTCATCAATGACTGTAAGATTTAATACCATTTACTTTATTTGTTCAGAAAGATTACATTGATTAACAGACAAGTTTATGCAATAAAGTATTTAATATTCTAAACATAACCCTGGATAAAAAGTCCCTGGTTGAAACAATCTCAGCTATGATATTTCAGCATATTTTAGCAATTAAAAAGAAAAATACTGTAAAAAGTTAAACCTAAGACAAAAAACCCCTTTTCTTATTGGGTGAAATTTTCAATAAAATCAATAAATACCCTTTCATAAATACCCTTCACTTCCGAAAATTTTATAATTATTCTCTAATGCTAATTCACCTTTCTCTTTCTTTTTTTGAAGTTTGTTGGGCCTATATGAACTTTTGTGGTCCTGTCTGAGTGAATAATATTGTAAACCAGCTGTTATAACTACCTTCGTAAATTAACATAAAGTTCAAACTATAATAAGCCCCAAAGTAACATAAGAGACTTATTTGGTGGTTCAGAAACTGAGTAACTATCCCTGCTACCCTGCTAGTTGGTCTTCTTCCTTCAGATGACCTGGGCTTACTAGGTAACACCACAGTTGGGACACCAAAAGTCAGATATGCCAAACCGTTGACTATAGTCACAGAAAACATATTACTATAACCCAGAATGCCAACCGCGTGGTAAAAAGCATTAAGTGTTTTGAGAGAGCTTTGCCTGTCAATCGTAGGCAGCGCCACCAGCGTTGCTATGCTGAGTGCATGGCAACGCTGGTGGCGCTGCCTCAGGCAAAGCTCTCTCAAAACACTTAATGCTTTTTACCATGCGGTTGGTATTCTGGGTTATAGTAGTATGTTTTCTGTGCTATAGTGGCCTATACATATAATAAAATACCATATGATGGTATATAGTAAATAGCCATGATTACACTAAAATTGTTGAATAATTCTTGGTGGGATTGGGATGTGTCACCAAACATTATTAATCTGTAAAACATCATGCAACTGTTAAAAACACCTACTTATAAGACTTGGTGTTAAGTTTTATTGTAATATTTTCATTAGTAAAGAACTTATCAAGCTGTTCTGGGACTTTTTCCCATCATTTATACGTATACACTACTGAAATACCCATACATAATGGCTACAAAAGTGACTTAACACATTCATTATAACTGATATTCTTGATTGATAATAATACAATTGACTGAGATCATTTTCTCTGCAATTAACTCTCTGAAGAAGTTCTATATAAGGACAAAATGACATTGTTGTCATGGTTTGTGTGTATTTACTGTGTATCCATTAGCCCCTGGACTTTAGTTTTCTCAGGTAAGCTCTAGCTGAACTCCATCGCTTCCTGAAATATTCCTGAACACAAAATAAGTGAAAATAAAAATTGAAATAGTCTTGCGAATCAGACTATTCATAGGTGTTTTGTTTCATTTACTTGAAACTCTTCCTCACATACATCCGAGGTATCCACCATGACTCATATAATACCCATACGAATAAGGTGATGGAATGTGACAGGTTGCTGAATGAAACTACAAACTTCGCAACGAATGATTAATTTATTATAATAAAATAATGTAACTTTCGACTTGCCTTATTAACAAATTTATAATCACAAAGTACTAGCTTATGAGAAAATACAATTCCGAATTAAAGTTATAGGTTTACAATGCTAAGATGAAGATTGTCATGATTAATTCCATTTTAGAAAAAGGGGGGATAGGCATACCAACTTAGATTAATTTAGGCGACCAACCGAAACGAATTTTGAATTTAGACAAACTTCAGCTGAGTGCTCTCCGTCCGTAGCCAAGTTGGCCGTGGAGGGGCACCAGCATTGCGGCTATGCCACGTGACGTCAGTTCAACGTTGGCCAGTGCTGCTGCCTAACGATCACTTGGGGCGTTAGACAAACTGTAGTTGCGCAGTTACTGGGTTCAGCGAAGAATTTGCTGAGCAGAGCCCAGCAAATTCCAGCCATGCGCGTTACACTTCTGGGAACATTGGCCTGGCCTGGGGTTGAGTCATGGTTGACGGAATATTCCATGGTGAGGAAACTGGGCTGACGCAGAAGTTGGGCGGTTAAAACAGTTCAATATTACAGACCCTCCTTTTATATTTTAAATAAAGCAAAGCTTTTGTGACGGTATTTACAGGGTTTCTTGAGGGTGTAGCAAAAACCTCCCCAACTGATATGTAATGGGTCTAGGAATTTTTGGGGCCGTCACAGGAACAACACTAAATTGTTATAATCTATAAGCTATAACAACCTTGAACTTCATCATCATGTATTATGTATTATTTACACATTTGTTGAATGTAGGGTGTTGCTTGGCATCCGTGGAAGAAACACTTGCTAGTTGTTGCTGATTGTCTCGGTTATATGGCTTTGTACAATGTCTTGGATCCTCTCAATCCCCTGGCTACTTACGAATCTGCATACGACTGCTCCATTCTTAACATCACCTTCAACCCTATATCCGCAGAACTTGTGGTCAGTCAAAACGTCTACAATGATGGAACAGGTAATTGGTTAAAACATAAAACTGCAGATTGGTATTGGGTGCTGACGACATGCAGCTTGAAATGTATGGGGTGTTGAAAAAAAAGGAAACGCAAACGCTAAGAGCTATTTCATGAATATTGCAACAATGATCGATCAGCTGATCGTCGAAAATTGTTGAAAGTGTTTCTTTTACATTTTAACAGTTTTCACGAAGGCTAGGACTACGATAGCCAAGCCACAGCACAGTGTTCAAAAACTAATAGTAAACTATTAATCATTTATTTTTGGGTTTCCTTTTTTTTGCACCACCCAGTACTTAGATATAAAATTCTGGCACATGTGATTTTTGTGTAATTTAACTTTAAAGCATGAAATTAGTGTGATATCACTTTTAGTCAACACATTTTTTGTTATCAAAGTACAAAATCCATGATAACTTTAGCTAGTTTTTCTGACTGTATTATAAAATTAATTTGTCATAATCTTGTTCTACAAGAAAATATTTCCTTGTAGTAAATTGCCATTCCCTTTGTTAGGTAGCCCTTATTCCCAGCTCTCAGTTCTTGCTTCCTTCGACAGAGTTGTGGACAGAATGGACGGCCATGAAGGTCCAGTCCAATTCCTCAACTGGAGTCCTGATGGTACGCAACTTGGTAAGTTAGTTGACAAGTAATGTTCTGTGGTCAAAAATTACCTCTCTCTTATATAATGTTCCCAACTCATCTCACCATATGACACTATTCTCACAAGGTAAACATTAATACTTTATTGTTCAAAGTTAATTTTTGGTGATGGTGATTTTATGTTATCAAAGGAATTATTGGGGACATTTTCCATTACAATTAGTAAAATACTCCCGCCTTTTGGATTGCCAAAATTGGGCAAACCTGCATACCAAGGGGATTTCCATTTGCTTGATTGAATTTTGACTTAAACTTGTCAGATTGATTCCATGTTTGAATAACATTAGGTTTAACAATATTAGGTTTGATGCTACAGGGAGGATAATAAAGTTTGATTTTTAGTAAAACTTTAATAGCTTAGTATAAAACAAATTAATTCGTTAAGTATGATTAAAATATCAACATTTTATGCATATGACACCTTATTGGTTGGAGGTCTATGTACCAATTTGCAATCCAAAGTTGGAGATTCAGTTAAATCGCTTATAAAGATGGTTACCACTGAACATCCTTCTGTCCAAGTCTGTTTTCATGCAATTCCTGACTCTCAATAAGAGCCATCAAATGGTCTCATTGAATAAGTGTGAGATACAAGAGTTCTCAGTAGCAATATTTTTACGTATAATTATGAATAATATATGTTGTCATGGTCCATTAATGTATAAGAACTTTAGTATGTTGAACCGCATCTGCCATGCATTTAGGACGCTGCAACCTCTTCTTGATTGGGAAGTGTTAGTTGCAGTCTACTATGGTTGTTTTTTTTTCATTCATGATATATGATATTGAAGTCTGGGGTGGTTCTATCCATGCTACTATAAGGTCTTTGCCGTCCAGAGAAGGGCAGTGCATATCCCTAATGGCTTACCACCACTTCAGTCATGTAGAAGAGTATATTTTGGGAGCAAAATATTTTATCATTGCCTTCATTATTCATCTACAGAGAAATAATGTAGACAGTTAATTATCTGAAGGATTGGTTGGTCAATCATAGATATCCCACTCTGACGCTCTCTGAAAGGAATGCAAATTTGTCTGGACTCATCATCTATAATCCTCTTCCTAAGGAAGTAAAGCAGTGCAGTTCAAGGTTTTTGGGAAACGGCTAAAACCATATATATATATTGGAAGGCGAGTTTTCCAGTCCAGGAATTCCTGTCTGCCTGATCTCATTAAGGCAGTAGTTCATACTACCAAGAATCCCATAGACAAGTAAGAAACGGTTAATTTTTTTTTTTTACCAGGCCTGTTTTTGACTATGTCAGCGCCCTAGGCACAACTAAAATAGTAGCGCCCCTTTGCAATATGTATAACAGGGTGCCCATCAACCGGGAAATCCGGAAATTAAGCGGATTTTTTTGTAACCGGGAAACATGCGTGAATTTTTTATTTCTACCTGGAATTGTCAATTTACCACAATGCCGCATGACAACAATGACGTTTCCGTGACAGCGGGAGACGATAATATGGCCGTGAGGGATGATCAGAACTTTGCCGCGATCGCATGAGACGATGATAATGTCTAAACGACCGCGGGATATGATCATGATTTTACCGCAATACGATAATGAGATCTACAGAGCCGTGAAGGATGATCAGAATATTGCCGCGATCGCATGAGACGATGATTATGTCTAAACGACCGGGGAACATGATAATGATTTTACCGCGATCACGCAATACGATAATAAGATCTAGAGAGCCACGAATGATGGTCAGAATACTGCCGCTATCATAGAAGACGAAGATAATGTCAACACAACCGCGGGAAATAGTCAGAAATTTTCCATGATCGCGGAAGACGATAATGATCTTCTCATGACTGCGGGATATTATTAACATTTTGCCATAATCGTGGGAGACGATAACGATGTCTTTACGATCATGGGAGACTATTACGATGTTACAGGATCGCGGGAGTTACAATAGTGATGTCTACTATTGTACACGGCTGCGAGGGATGATCAGAATTTCACCGCAATCGCGTAAGACGATGATAATGTCCAATCAACCACGGGAAAGATCAGAATTTTGCCTTATTCGTGAAAGACAATGATGATCTCCAAACGACCGTGGGAGATGATTACCATTTGCCACAATCCGCAATGGTGGGAGAGGATGACAATGCCTCACGACCGCAGGAGGCGATGATGTCTTCACGGCTGTGAGGGATTATCAGAATTTTATCGTGATCGCGCAAAAAGATGATAATGTTCACACGACCCCGGGAAAAAATTCGAATTTTGCCTCGGTCGCGGTAGACGGTGATAATCTCCTCACGACCGCAGGATGTGTTCATATATTGCCACGATCAAGGAAGACGATAATTATGTCCACACGTCCGCCAGAAATAGTAAGAATTTTGCCGCGATCGCGGGAGACGGACAATGATGATGTATACACAACCACAGGAAATAATTAACATCATGCCGCAATTGCGGGAGACGTTTAAGATGTCTACACGGCCGCGAGGAATTATCAGTTTACCGCAATCGCAAGCAAATACAGCCACAATTTTTTTTTATTTTCCAATATTTTGGTGCCCCCAAAAAAAGCCAATTGCCTCGCGCCCTAGGCACGTGCCTACCGTGCCTATTTGGTAAATCGACCATGGGCTTAACAAATTGTGAATTTAACAATAGAATCCAGTCTTTTATTGATAACAACTTTAATAAAAAGGAAGAAATTAATATCAGTACTTAACCATTAGAGGATATGATAGCAGCCGGCATAACATCGCCTGTTCAGCTGACACCATCATATAAAACAATAGATCGTAGGAGCCCAGACCCGGCATCGCCCTGTCCAGCACCACCTGCCTCAATAACACCTTCAGCAGTCCTGCCGACACCTTCAGCAGTCCTGCCGACACCTTCACCGGAGACACCAATGTTGCCACCTGCCCCACCATCACGACCTTCAGTGACAGCTGTGAATGAGAATGTGATCAAAGTAGTGCCCAGCGACTTCACCTTCTGTGAGTTGCTAAAGCAGAGCAATAGGCCAATGGTGGAAGTGAATAAAACAGCTCATGTGCCACAATTGTTAAATTTGGAGGTAGATTCTACAAGTCAAAGCCAAAACGATACCTTTAATTTTTTAGTAGATCAAGCAACCCCCATTGGAAAAATAACAGTAGAGTAAGCAATTTTTTATGTATTATTATCGAAACATTAGAGGGTTGCAATCATCAATTGAACCTTTAGAAGTAACTCTAGCTGAACTAACACCTAGTATTGTCAGAGCATACAATGATAAGTTCTTCTCTGGAAAAATTAAATATTAGTGGTTACAATGTTGCTTCCAGTTTCGGAAAAATCGAGAGTTGTGGTGGTGTTATTATTTTAGCAAAACCATTTATTCTTTGAATGAAATTATACTACTTGAAATTCAAAATCTCTTCACTGAACACATTTTTGAATGTTGTTTAGTAGAAGTAGATAAAATTATCCCAAGGAAAAAACTCACTATAATTGGTTTCTACAGGAATCCAACTAAGCAAAATGAATATGAATTTATCAAAGTACTTAATACAATGCTTGAAATAATTAGTTTTAAATAAAAGTATGTGGTTTTTATGGGAGATATTAATATTGATATGCTGAATTTAAATGACACCAGCAGGAAAAACTTACTGCGTGTTGTAAGCTAATGGCTTCCAGTCATTGGATGATTTTCCGACAAGAATCATCGATACAACTAAAACTGCAATAGATAACATTTTCACAAATTTAGATAGGGGCTGTTATAAAACTATGGGTGTTAACACACAACTTTCAGACTATGATGGCCAAATAGTTGAAGTTTTTAACAATACAAAAAATATAGCCTGAATAATTCTTCCTTTTATTTTGAGCATAAATAAATTTGTATGATAAAAACGTTGAACAATTTATATCCGCTTTACAGCATGAGTCATGGCTTAATCTTTATTTATGCCCTTTGGAATACAAGTATGATGTTTTTATGAAATAATAGCAGTTACCCGGCGCGTGTTGCTGCGCTAACAATTATTGTTTTAAATGGTAATTTGTTCGTTACGATAACTAATAAAAATGTATACCAAATACAAAAATATAATATTTATATTACTTAATTGCCAGTGGACAAACAATGTTTTTATTTTTTCATTAGGTGTATAAATATATAAGTTTTTAGGCGGACCTACCACCACGTGAGCACGTAACATACTGCTGTCCGTGTGAAATCATGTATTTTCTAAATTTAAACCAGCGATAGCCCTTATGCCTTATAATGGTGATTGGGAAAGCGAGATGCAAAGGAAATTGTAGTCGCTTAGATTCAAAGGGTAATTCGGATTAAATATTCGGTATTCTTGGGATCATGACTATTACTCCTTTAAACTTACCACTGATGATTTGTTGCTTCGATCAAGTTTAGTATCACTTTTTTAGCGAATTTCCCTATAGGGAAGTAGCTATTAGCGAATTTCCCTATAGGGAAGTAGCTATTAGCGAATTTCCCTATAGGGAAGTAGCTATTAGCGAATTTCCCTATAGGGAAGTAGCTATTACCGTAGGTGGCACGGTAAGACCTAGACCCGGGACCGATTTACTTTTTCATTTTGATGTCCCCAGAGGCCAAAAACACTATTCGTTCAAATTTTTATATATGTATATATATATATATAGACTTATATATATATATATATATATATATATACGTCCGTGAACGCGATAACTTGAGTAATTTTTGTCCGATTTTGATGAAATTTGGTTTAAAGGTGTAAGGCGGAATAAACTTGAATGAGTTCGCGAACCAGCACGATCGGACCATGGAAACGGGGCTTTACAGGGGGTTTTATGGGGTAAAAATTGGTTTTTCTCACTTTTGACCCTCAAAACACAAAATTTCCCAATTTCTCTTTAGACCTTTTTAAAGAGCTTAAAAAAACAAATAATTTAGTATGTAAAAGTATTTTTGTTCGATTATTAGTAACGGAGAAAATT